GTCATGTTTGCCTTTACATCTGCACAAGATCAGTACATGAAATGCTCGTGGTAGCACTTATTTTAAACATTTTGTTGGCAAAGCTATCTAATCTGTCTCTATGATGTATTCGGGGACTTTATTTGACACAGTTATCTTTTAATTAAGTTACAAAAAACAATCTTTCAATCGTCTCTGCCTGCAGAACGGAAATTATGAAGGCTGTGTTGGTGGGTACTTTGCTAGCTAGCTAGCAGCTACATACTGTAGCAGTCTGCCAACCAGCCCCGTCAATTTGTTGCAAAAAGCGTATCGTTCTGGTCAAGGCTCTAACCAGGTGTCATCCCTCAACTTAACCAAACTGAATATTTCCTGTTAGCTGGACAATTACGTCAAGACATAACTTTAAATTGTTGCATAATTCGGTTCATGACCAAAAACGTGCTAAACTAATTTCCATCAGCCTCGCCTGTAGCCTAGTCTGTGTGTATTGCTAAATAGCAAATGCTAAACATGCTAAACTAAGATGGGGAACAAGGCAGGTCTGGTAAACATCACATGTTAGCATTTTTATTGTGAGCATGTTAGCATTTAGCTCGTAGCACCACAGTGTTTTCTGAAGGTACAGCCTCTCTCTTGTATTGAGGTAGCCTAAGACTGGTGTATAGCAGACAATAGTTTTATTTATTTATAGTTTACAAATCCTTAAAAGCACAGTCCATGTCAGCTTCTAACACCAAATGTCACTAACCACACCAAAACACAACTTAACTTGTTTCTCTCCCTGCACTGGATCTGAGGAGCTAACAGCTAAGCTAATGTGCATTCACAACTGTGTAACCTGACTGTTTGTGCACGCTAATGAATGTTTTCATCAGATTCTGTCTCTGAGTGGGCGTTTACCTGCTGCACATTCCTCTCTAGTTAAGTGTTTGCAGCTCGTCTTTTCCGTTTAAAGGTTTTCACAGTAATTATGGAGGTTTCTCCAGCGGCTGCCGTCAAACCATATCTGTGTACATAAAGTGGATGAGAGGGTGGAACAAGAAGAATGTTTAGTGTTGTTTTGGTATGCTGAAAAGTGGCCTCTGCACAGAAACAACTCCACTTTATTTCAGCTGAAAGGGGTCGTATATCTTTCTGTTATGATCTTTATGTTCACATTTAATGTATCTTTTCATCCTGTTTTCCTTTCTGTGTTCAGCTGCCTTTAATGCTGTTTTTCTTCTCTCAGATTTGTAATTAGAGATTCCATCCTGTGAGGCGGAAACCAACTTGTTTGAGATGTGTTTCTGTTGTCTTTTCAGCCATGAATACTCATATTTATATTTTCAAAATCCCCTCAAATAAAAATAGTGTTACTTGTTGTAATAATACATCCTGAATTGTCTGATCATGAATATTTTATTCTCTTAGAGTTCCTGGCTCTAAGGGAATCCACACCAAACACCAACATTTGCTCTTTTTGAAAGAAAATAACCCGGGTGATGATAATGTCTTTTGAAGACATGGAGTTTAAAAAAGGGTTTAATATAGGTTAAGTTGCATTAGATAGAATAAAGTCAATTATTTGAAGGTCTAAATTGTGTTCCTCTGCTACTAAATTCATCAGTGAAATTAATTAAAATGAAAAAAAGCACAGATAAAATAGGCTTTACATTGTTTATGCAACATGCAGCAAAAAAATATGAAAACTGGGTCATTCAATCTGGACAAACAACTTTATTTCTGGTAATGCATCTATACACTGTACATTCAGTCACTGTAGTATATAAGCATAGCTATTTTCAAACATAATCTCATAAAGTCCTTTACTTTACAATATAGTCCGTGTCGTGAGAGAAGGGAAGGGTCGTTGGAGGAGGAATGAGGAAAAAGGCGTGAAAAAATTAGGGAAACAAGGAAGATAGATGAATAAGCCAAGCTTTTTTTCACACTGTATATGTGGCATTAATGATGGGAAAGCTTACATTTACCTCTTACATAAAAATATTTCTAGAATTGTAAGGTTTATATAGAATTAGCAGCAGCACAGGGCTAAAAGGATACATGAGGATGAGGGGAAACAATCTGCAAGGTGGCGTAGTTATGTGCATGTGTGTGTGTGTGTGTGTGTGTGTGTGTGTGTATGTGTGTGTCACCCATACGCTAGGTCTGCTATCTGATACTGAACATACTGTTAAAAATATATATGAACTGGTGAAAAAAGTCATTCAATATAAAGACTCTACAGTAAAAAAAAATGAGAAGAAAGTGATTAAATGTTTATGTAGGGAATATTCTCTTACGCACTGCTTTTTTTGAAACATTTCAGTTAAAACACAAATTCAAAAAAAAGACAGCTATTGTAAGAAAAGATTTCTTTTTGAAAAAGGAAACACCATGTACATATATTATACAATATCGTAAATGAAAAAAATATTTACATTTGTAAATTCTTATTCAAATCCTCACACTGGCTAGTATTTGTCTATTAATATGGACTGTTATTGCTGCGTTACTGTCCATTATTTAGCAAAATGATTCTCCTTTAGAAAACAATACGCTGTTGAACGGCTTTTTCTTTTTGCGCGGGAAAGTGAAGAGCCAATGTCGTTATTTTCTCCCTTCTTTTGTAGAAAACCATGAGTAAAGTAAACTACGCATAGGCTATCAACTCTTTGAGTGTAAAAACAACTACAAAATGTACCAATTTTAGGTCTGCCAAAGTAGCAGACGCCGCGATGTTCTCTGAGCAACATCAGTAATGTTAGATAAGAAAAGGGCTTCTAACATAATGCCCTCTGTGTTATCCTCAACAAGCTGCGAATAAACAGTCTTTATATACAACCCAAAGTAACATTTCATCGAAGCAAGTGGCTTTTCAAGATCTTCTATAAAAATTGTTTGAACATGCATATCATTGATTTCAAAAGAAGGAAAAAGCACTCATTCAGAAAAAAAAAGCCTGAAGCGTCTAGCATTTGTTCAATTACTCTCAGCACTGAAAAAGGAACAAAGTTTGTAAACTGGTTGGTCTTAAGAATACTGTTAAGAAGAGCTGCTGAACGAGGGAGGGGCTTTTGATTTGAAACCTGCAAACAGGAAGGTGATGAGAGGCCACGCCCCCAGCAGCGTCATCATCAGTTTTCCTTCTCTGGAAACCCTTCGCCCGCGTCCAGGCACTTGAGGTTGTCCAGCATTGCATTTTTTTTTTCTTGTCTTTCATTTTTTTTTGCAAGAGTGGAGTTTTGTTTCCTTAAGAACAATATACTGTGTTGTTTTTGTATTACTTTTTCCTCTTCTAAATAAGACAATTTGCTTTATATTGCATAACACAATAAAACCTTTACATGTACAGTATCAATGCCCAATAACTGACTATATGTATGGCAAACTCAAATTTCATGCATAAAGAAAATATGAGTTTTCAATTGAAAAAAGTGAACATAACAGACAAGCAATAATAAAATATCTCCACGTTTAAAACAACAACAACCAAAGGAAAAATAGCATTAACACAATGTACATTCTGATTGCATTGTACCCACTGTGTGACGGATGCTGCCTTTTGAATAAAATTACATTTTATTCCTCCAACATGAGAATTTAGTTCAGGCTCCAATAACAATCACCTCCCATGCTGTTAATGATGTTTGTCGGAGTTGTAACCGGGTGCGATATTTGTGTCAATTATTTTACAAAAGCGGGAGAGTGCTTAGCCCAAAATTGTCCAACAATCCCAGACTGCATCAGCAAGCAAGAGGTTCTTTCTTTCCATTTATTTACAAGACTTTGCCTTTAGAAAACAGAACAACAGTATTTATTGGAGATGCATATAATCAACATAATGCTTACTGGATTTATATGGTAGCAGTCATGTATACGATGGTGTTTTTCAAAGTAAGATTGAAGACAATAGTGGGAGTACAATGCATTATAACAGTATTTTGTTATGACAAAGTGCGATTCATTATTGTAAAGTCAAAAAAAACAAAAACATACATTTATATTTACATACCTTAATTTAATTCAAATGAACATTTTGTGGTTCTTGTCACCATATCCAGCCCACCATGATGTCACAGGTGATGCTTCTGATGTCATTTGGAGTAAAAACATACCGGCTCTCATCACTCGAGTGTTACAAGACAATAAAACCACACTCACATCTGGAGGATTTATCTTTACAAGATACACACTTCAGGGTTTTGTTAAAATAACAGAAGGCGACAGAGTGTGGCTTATTGGCAGCAACACTGAGATGTTGGATGTTGGTATTGACCATCCAGAAAGTGCTCACTAAAAGGTGCCTTTAACACGGCATGTTTTTATTCCCAACTCCCAATCCAGGGTGTGATCCACAGAGAGGAGGGTCTACCCAAAGGCAAGCCCACTCACCACTTGGAGAAATTAGAAATACATGATTTTATAAAGCAACAATGGGAGGAAAAGAACTTTGAACTGGATGCTTTTCCCCTCAGTGGACTGCGATGGCTTCCTGAAAAACCGACAAAACCCCGGTGGCACTGTGGGAAGTTCATTTGCTTGTTATGTTCATCTTCTGATTTATTTGTATCTTTTTTATATTTTTAAACTTCAATAGCACAGAGAGAAACAGAAACCGTCTCATGTTTTCTTTACATTTTGCTATGTAGTCTCTTAAATAGCTCAGAATGCCCTCCATCTTCGTCATGGCGAGGGGACGTTTGGAGGAGATTATTCCGGTCTGTTAAGTGTGACCCCCTCCTCTCTACAGCTGCATTACTCTAATATAACATGATCGTCTCTCAGCACTAGCATCACAGACGCCTGTCCCTGGGTCTCCCCTCAAATCTGCTTTTATTCTTGTGATCCTGGTTTTCAGTTCTGTGAGTTTGGAAGTCAGTGTTTGATTTAGTAACACATGTTTCCATGTTGCAGTGTTTCCAGTCTTTCTCCATGAAAGCACTCACTTGATTTTTCATGGGTGTTTCTTCTCTCTGTGTCTGCTCGGAGAGTCTTTCATTTGTGAGTGGTGGGGGGCAGAAGATGGGGATCATGGCGGGCGATTGGGGGGTGGGGGGGGGGGGGGGTTGGCTGCTGGGTTAGTTTTCAGCGAGTGTGTCCTGAGGCGCCCCCTCCTTGTCGCTGGGCCAGAGTTGCTGCTGCAGCTCCTTCACCACCCTCTCCAGGTGCTCCCGGGCCTCCCGCTCCAGCAGCAGGTCGGCTCGGAGCTGCTCGCGGTCGGCCTCGGCGTGCTGCAGCTTCATCTGGAGGTCCTCGATCTGCGGAACACATGGCAGGAAGCAGATGTGACTAAAGGACGACTGAGCTGTGTACACAGAGTTATTCATATTCATGTTAACTCAAAGGATATTTTCATACAGTCTTGCTTGACTGGCAGATTGGCTTCATCATTTCAACAACTTGTGATTTACATAACTGATTTATGTCAATATAAGTTCTTACAGAAACAAGGTCATAGAAAAGTTTCTAGATTTGAGCATATATTTGAAGAGACAGTCTCAATGCAATGTGGGAGGTTTAGTAAAAAGTTCCCTATGGTGTGTGTTCCACTATCAGTTCATAGATCTCTGTTAATGACAGCCTTCTAGAGCGGCTGCAGTCTCTGAGGGGGGGTTCACAGACCCAGCTTGAGAGCATAACCTCCCTCTTGTTTTGTCTAATCTGCATTTCCCATGGTGCCTGAAGGAAGCCAACGTCTCTTCCTGTTTCCCTTCGGAGCGGGACTTATCCCACGTCTGTGCACTCGGGGCTACACCCATTTATTTTTGACTGTGGAAGAGGAAATGTGGCTTTTTTTACTTGCCTTCTCCTGTGCTGACCTTGAGAGTATTTGAGACAGTGAAACTCTGCAATTACTGAGAGGGTGTTGACATTATGGTCTAGACTCTCTACCATCACATTTGTACACATTGCACTGTTAGTGTCTGTCTGCATGCCGGGCCACGCTTGGCTTCATTTAAACGCTCCCCATGTTACTCAAGTATCACTGAGAGATTAAGAAACGTTTCATGGACACAACCAACCTTTATAGTGTACTTGCCAGCAATGGGAAACCGGAAAGGTTGTGTACCCCAACCCCAATGTGAATACATTTCTGGCATTTTTAAGGGGGGGGGGAAAAATATTTTTGAGTCCCCTTAAACTAAAAACAACAAAACAAAAGTGACTCTTTCTGGTTAAAAATGATTAATAATTCCTCTTGTAAATATCAGGAATTTATTTAACATCCTCATTAACCTCCAAAACCACACCAAAATGTTCCAAGTCGGCCCTGCCTTTTTTCAGCTATTGTCTGCATATTTAATGCTTAATAACGCAACTTATGACAATTGTGCAAATTGCCCAACATATGCAAGTTAGCATCCAGCAGTTTCTATGAGCTGGAGACCCATATTATACATTTATAACATACAACTTTGGGGTACTCTAACCCTAACGCTAACCCAGAGCTGGCACACACTATAACCCTAACCCAGGGGTCGGCAACCCGCGGCTCTCGGGCCACATGCGGCTCTTTAAGCCCTCTACTATGGCTCCCTTGATCTTAGACAAAAATAAGAAGGAAATACAATAAAAATATTTATATTTTGTTGCACGGTTGAAAATGTTTCGTATCTTGTATTTTGAGGTGATGAGACAAACAAATAAAAAAAACGGTTTTAATTAGGTCAACTAAAATATGCGTCACATCCTGTTACGGTCCCGCACCAGCGCCTTTTCTTACAGACGAATAACCTGCAGCTTTACGTATTGGAGGGAAAACACGGAAGAGGAAGACAGATGATGACCTTCAGTCATAATTCAATCACCTAACTCTCTTTAGGGTGCAGCTGTTTGATTTATTTCAAAGTGGGCCCATTTGAATTATATTCATTTTCTTCAAATGTGCAGAGGACTCCCAAAGTGCTGTGTTGATTTATTTTAAAGTAGGCCTGTGTATTTTTTTTAATTCTCCTTATAAGAATTCTTTGTTTATTATTAGAGGTAAACAGTTTTCTATAATGTAATAAATAATAAATGCAAAAAAACTGTAGTTTTTGTCTATGATGTAACAATATATACAACTTCATAAGCTATCAAGCTATCAAATATGTTTTGCGGCTCCAGACAAAAAAAATGTGTGGAAAAGGGGGCAAAATGGCTCTTTTGGTCAAAAAGGTTGCAGCCCCCTGCCCTAACCCTAAGCGATTGAAAAGCTACGTTAGCGTGCAGGCTAACTCACCTGTGCAGAGTACTTGGCGCGGAGCCTCCCGGCCTCGCAGCCTTTGTCACACACTCTCAGCTGCCGCGCCTGCTCCAGCTCCCGCTTCAGACGGATCCGCGACTCGTTGGCTTCCTTCATCTTCTTCTCGCTCTCGGCTCGCAGGCGCTCGATTTCCTTCCTCAGGTTTCGCTTCGCCTCGGTCGCCTCCCGCAGCTTTTCCTTTTTCGCCACCCGCAAGAACTCCAACTCCTGGAAAAAAGACATGCAGAACTTAGTCAAAAAGAGGGAGTTTCTCATAGAGGGATTGTGTGTCTCGAGGTGCTTATGTAACTTTTGTTAATGTCGGGGATGTATCTGTCACATGGCTGTTTTGCTATGTTCCTGAGGCGCTGACACCTGAGAGCAGAGCCTGTTACCGTGTCCATGTTTACATCCAGCCCAGTCAGGGTTAGGGCAAAGGGTGTGTGTGTGTGTGTGTGTGTGTGTGTGTGTGTGTGTGTGTGTGTGTGTGTGTGTGTGTGTGTGTGTGTGTGTGTGTGTGTGTGTGTGTGTGCGCGCGCGCGCGTGTGTGTGTGTGTGTGTGTGTGTGTGTGTGTGTGTGTGTGTGTTGTGTGTGTGTGTGTGTGTGTGTGTGTGTGTGTGTGTGTGCAGCAGTTAAGACAAACTTGTCAAGCTTTGTTGGCTCCTACAGAACAGTGAAATCCCCATCACACCCTTTACTCCTCAGATAGAACTCTTTCCCCACCGTCACTAAACACAGCAGGAATGAACCGGCGGCTGTTTTTAAGTCAGGCCCCACATTTCATTAAGTTGTCGGTTGGTTGGATTGATGTTGCCTTCCACAGCTCCTGTGAACTCTGATGGAGAGTGAAAGTGGAATGCTGTCAGGCTGGACTAGCTTTTCTCACTCAGGATGTGTTCAGTGCTGCTCTCCCACTCAGACTCCTTCGTCGGCATTTTCTTGTTCTCAGTCCAAGGCCAGAAATAAAGATGGAAGTCTGGCCTTTCCCTTCGCTGCAATATCCGCTCTCATTGTTATTACTTGCCAACTCATGCTAAGCTTTGCTGACAGTCATCATGGATTCTAATCCACTTCTACATTTTGATGCCTGAGCTCAAGTCATTTCCTCAGTGAGCCAACTTTGATAACTTTCTGTCTGCTCTGATTTCAAGAACATACAGAGAGGCTTAATGTGAGCCGCTAGGGCTTGGAAATGACATTCTCTCAGCCAACAGTCGAACACACCATGCTGCAATCACTAACATGACTTCATATTCCTTGTATATATAGCATATCCGTGTTAGAATAGACACTTAATAAACAGGGTTGCACATTTCAATAATTACGGCTGATCTTGTTATATCAGGCCGTTTGTCATGGTGTGTAGGTTTCTCCATATTTGATTGCGTAACAGTGACTTATTTGACTGGTTGGTGGCCTTGAATGGCACAGAGGTTAGTTTAGGTAAAGCCCTTTGCTCATATGTGTGGTATGGAGATTAATATACATTGCAAACAACTTTGGCAGAGCTGTATTAAAAACATCTGTGGCAAGATGAAGTAGGAAGGGTTGAAGCTAGTCTTGAATCCAAGCAAAGTCTCATTCAATGAAGAAGTCCAGGTAAAGTCACACATTTATGAGTTGAGATGTAGGTACTATTAAGTGACATACTTTTACATTTTGATCAATGAAAACTGAATAAATATAGTTTTTCTTATTTTTGTTGATGCACGGATGTCTCTGAATACAATAACAAGTAAGAAATGTTTTCATTCAAATCTCAAGTAGGGCCATGTTGTAACATAGTAATGTCTCTCAGAGTTTGTGATGTGTGTATATAAGTCACTCTGAATGAAGCTGGGCTCACAGTTTCCCTCTGCCTCCTGTCTGTGTGCTAACTGCTATCCTAAACACACCTCGGACCTAATCGTGTAAACAACGCACATATATGCAACATGTATCAATTAGTGTTAATTTCGTTGACTAAAACTATGACAAAATATGTTCGTCAACGATCTTTTTTTCCATGACTAAAACGAGACGATGACGAGACGGCACCGACGGCAGTAAACAATAACTGTAACAAAATCAACATGCAATATCGTTGACGAAAAGTGACGAGACGAAAATGTAGTTTACTAAATAAAAACTATGCCAAAATCTCTCTTTACTTTCGTTGACGAAAAAGGAGGAGACGAAATATTATCAAAGATAACGTTACATCTCTGATAGTCAGTTTTTCTCCCAGCAGTTCCATTTCCGGTGCTGCGGCTGGGTGCAGCAGCTGTGTGTCTGTGCTGCGGCTGGGTGCAGCAGCTGTGTGTCTGTGCTGCGGCTGGGTGCAGCAGCTGTGTGTCTGTGCTGCGGCTGGGTGCAGCAGCTGTGTGTCTGTGCTGCGGCTGGGTGCAGCAGCTGTGTGTCTGTGCTGCGGCTGGGTGCAGCAGCTGTGTGTCTGTGCTGCGGCTGGGTGCAGCAGCTGTGTGTCTGTGCTGCGCGCGGCAGTACATTTGAATTACACCGGGCAGCGGCACAATACGAACTGTCAGGAAGACTCGGGTCTAACTCATGGTCTAACTAACCTTATTTAACAGAAAATAAAATGGCAACAACAGGGCTTGGGAGCAGTGGTCGCACTCGCGTTAACCGAATACCCCCCCGTCAGCGCGAGTGAGTGACGAGTTGTGTACAGACCGACAAAAGGTAGACTAAAATAATTAGTTTTCTTTGACTAAAATAAGACTAAAATGGTCAGACTTTTAGTCGACTAAAACTTGACTAAATAAAAACAGGATGAAGGTGACTAAATATGACTAAAACTAAAAAGGACATTTAACACAGGACTAAGACTAAAACTAAATAAAAAAATAGCTGACGAAATGAACACTAGTATCAATGTTCTCATCGGGAAGGGAAAGTACATTACAAATGGGTTACTGTTGATAACACAAACGGCCCCCACCTGCTGGAGGCTGCGTTTGGCCTGCAGGGCGGACCCCAGCTTCTCCTCCTGCTTCACCCTCATCTTCACGATCTCATGCAGGAACTTCTCCTTGGACTCTTTGGAGTCCAGTCCGCTGTCCAGCGCCTGCCTCAGACTCTCCAGCTCCGACTCTAGCCCCCCCTCTGAGGGGGCCACAGGGGCTGCAGCGGGTGTGGGTGTGGGAGGGGGGCCCTCAGCCGACGTGACGGTGCAGACGGGCCCCTGGGCCCCCGGCGAGCTCAGGTCCTTGGCTGAGCTGCTGGACGAGGTGAAGGATGGCGACGACAGGGAGGACAGGGAGGATGTGACTGTGGGGGGAGACCAGGACACGGGGGTGAGGTTTGTGTAAAATACTCTGGTGGAAACTAAGTTTACAGGTGTATCAGCCTCGTATCAATGTACACATGTAACACATTCTACCTCTGCGCCTTCACAACTTCATATCATTCATCTGTTTGCATCTCACGTATTTATCTATTATAACAATAAGCAGTATTATTTCACCGTACAGCATTACAGTTTACATTCTATTTAAAGCTCATCTTATTTGACTTGTATGTAGTTAAACTCTCCTGCATTACTTGCTAATTAGTCTTGCAACATTCTCTTGCACTATTTGATTTCTCTTCAGTTTCTTCTTGCACTATTTGTATTGGTTTATGTCTGATACAGTATATTTATGTTGCATTGTTGCAGGACCCTGGATGGTCACTGCATGTTTACACTGCAGCTGTGCATATGACAGTACATTATTTGAACCTGAACATTTCTAGTTTCTTAAGTGTTTTGCTTACATTCATCGCGGCTCTCCACTTCGATCTCCACCTCAGATTCCTTGTCGTCCTGAGGGGGGGGCAGCGGCAGCTTGCTGGCGGCGGCTGCGGGCGGGGGGCAGGGGGGCTCCGGCTCTGGGGTCTGGAGCTCCTCTGTGGCTCTTCTCTTGCGGGGCCTGGAGCTGGCGCCCTCGCCCGGGGGCTCACCTCCGCTCGGGTGGGAGGTGCTGGGTACCGACAGGGACATTGGACCTACCTTCCCCAGGGGCAGCGGTGTGAGGGCCACATTGGGGGCCACCGCTTTCTCTATACTCTTGTAGTTGTAGAAGCTTTGAGAAAAGAAAAAAAAGACAATTTAGATTTAATTTAGGGCTGCACCATTAGGAAAAAGTAAACAATTGCAATATTTAGAAATTGTGATATGATTGGAGGTTTTGAAAATAATTTAATCATACATTTCATTACCATTGAAAAATATAGTAAATGATCAGAGTGTGATTATATAAGAGGATCTGTATTCAACAAATATGTTCTATTAAGTATTAATTTGAAGGCTGGGATATCTCTGCAAATCAACAATATTTATTTAAAAATTATATTTTAACACATATTTAGTCTTCTCCAACTATTGTGCCTCCTGAGATTTGAATATTGCACAAGTCCAAAATGCAATTTCAATAAAATTGTGATTAATTGTGCAGCTCAAATGTATGTACAAAACGTTAAAGGTTACTTCATAACCAGGAGCTGAGTTGTGCATGCATGCAAACACAGTAGCATACTGTATGGTCAGATTGAAGCGTTCAGCTAAGTGCCTGCAGCTCTCTCCTCCCACTTTAGGAGAAACTGGGCACTGTGATATGGTGCAGCCTGCTCTGGCAGCGCCATGCCAAGTGGGTGCCCACAGTGTGAGTGTGTGTCAAATGTGTGTAAGTGGAGGAGTGTGGGAGGCTGTGGTGGAGTCAGACTTGACCCTCTGACACCAGCCCACCCAGACAAGCGAGAGCAGCTCATCAGATCCAACCCAACAAAATGGCCGAACTCTGCTGCAGTAAGAGCTCCCTAAAGTCTAGATATTAGTTCTGCAGGGATGAGTTTTAATGGATTATATTTCTAAAGGTCTGTGGTAAACAGATTGTGTTCTGTCACATAAAGTCCAGTGGTGATGACGTTACAGTAAACAATGGTTTAGTTTGTTTTAGCCAAAAGTTAGCCTCTGATTCTGGCGCTTGTGTGTATCTTCTGCAGGAATCCAGAATCCAATAAAAAAAACACATTGGCTTCTTGTCGAGGGAACCAGCGCAATGCTAACTTCAAAAGTATTTCCTCTCTGAAGCACCCTATTGCTGTCATGTTCTTCTGTCATGTGAGTGAGGTGTGTTGGTGCTGTGCTGCCTCACCTGTCTCTCAGCAGGGCCAGGGGGTGACTGGAGGGCTCCTTCTCTCCAGCAGAGATGTGGGGGGACCAGGGTCTGAAAGCTGAGGGTCTCTGCCTGGGCTGGATGCAGTTAAGCCCCTGAAAAAAGACAAACATAAACCTGTTATTCTACAAGTAACAAAAGTGACTACCAAAAAATACTGTTGCATTTGGAGGACATTTTTTCAATGCTGACGAGCAGTGCTAGACATTTTGATATGCTAAGGACACACTTACGGAAACATAGCATTTATGTTTGATACACAGGCTTATTGTAGCTGGCCTGACAACAAGTTTGAGGACGGAATACACTGGTTCTAGGACTCCAATTCTCTGCAACTTTAGACTGTATTATTTCTCTGTGTGATATATTTATCAGTGTAACAGTGCTATAGCTTGCAGTCAATGTGATCAGCTGTACTCAGTCCTTTGAATGTGAATGTGTAATTGTAAGAAATTGTGCAACCAATGAATTGTTGAAGACATTCTAACCGTATCCTCATAGTGGATTTTTTTGGGAATATTGATCTTCACAGGGGACATTCATCATTATTTTGTGGTTATATTGTGTTACACTGCGCTGCCTCTCAGTAAGTGAATCTGGGGGGGCTCATGGCGGCTACAGTTACCCCCTCTGTGAGCACCGCGTGCCAAATCTAAATTTAAGCGCTACCCTCATCCGAAAACTTCTGTAGCCTATAATATTACACCACATCTCATCTCATGCGTCACCACCAACATCTCCCCCCTGAGCTCAGCAACACGGACCTTATTGGCGGCGGACAGGGACTGGAGCCAGTCGTGCTGCTTCTCTTTGTCCGACTGCAGGGCCGGCGAGGGGAAGTCTTCATGTTTGGACCGTTTGATAGGGACGGGGTCAGATGCCTGGAGGAACAGAAAGACATTTGATTTAAGTTTTAAATAATTTGATCTAGCTGTATTTCAATAGGCAGTATTTTTTACAAAGACATAATGGGCTCATGTAATATGGAAGAGGATTAGGGGCTACAAGAGGAAAGATCTTTGGGACGTGACCAAAAGTACAAAATAAATTGGAGTTGTCACTTTTCTGAGATTAAAGTCAGAATTCTGAGATTTTCAACAAAAAGAGAAAGAGAGAAACATTATTTTCTTATCATAATAAAAATAAATCTGATATAACATTTTGAATTCTGAGAATAAAAAAAAAAAAAGTTTGGTCACATAAAAAAATACCGTTTCCCACAATCCCGAATACAATAACAAAGATATATAAAAATGAGTATATACCTATATATATACACAATGAGCAGACACATTTATAGATATAAACACAAAGTGAAAACAGTATCTGTGCTGCTTGAAAAGGGCTCACACATGTGCGCTGGGTGGATTACTGCTCCCTCGTGATGTGACTGCACAGGTTGGCAGCTGGCTAAGAGCTGTCACACTATAATGTCAGTGAACTGAGAGTGCACCCAATAGTGTCAGACAGACAAATAAGTGTGTGTGTGTGTGGGTGTGTATGCGCAAGTGCCAGCAGAGGTGTCTGATAGCTGGAAGTGTGTTTAAATGTAGGTGTGGTGTTGACTCTGTCACACACAATCCAATACAGCTTGGTGTGTTTGCTCATGGGCAGCCAAGAGAGGAGGCTAGAGGTGACTGGGGCAGTGTGTGTCTGTAAGTGTGTGTGTGTGTGTGTGTGTGTGTGTGTGTGTGTGTGTGTGTGTGTGTGTGTGTGTGTGTGTGTGTGTGTGTGTGTGTGTGTGTGTCTGTCTGTCACACACAGATACACCCATACAGAAAAAAAACAAGCAGGGGTTTGTTTCTCTTCCTCTGTTAGGCTTCGTGGCTATGACCTCAGTCTCTCCAAGCTGTGGCTGTCACTAGCTGCCACACACACACACACACACACACACACACACACACACACACACACACACACACACACACACACACACACACACACACACACACACACACACACACACACACACACACACACACACACACACACACACACACACACACACACACACACACACACACTAACAGCAATGCATAATTGATTGAACACAGTGTGTGCTGCAGGAAATGAATAATCCAAATCCCTAAAAAAAATTGTGAGTGTTATGTAATACAAATAATATGAAATAACTTAAGAAATGTACCACTTATATGTAGTTTTAAAACAATTAAGTGGATTCAAACATTATGATCGACCTATTCCACAAATGTGAAATATTGTGAAGTGTATTATAATAGCATTGAACTTGCATGTGCTCTGAGATTTGTTACTAACTGTAAAGCACTAACTCATCACTGTACCCTGTATGCCAGAGCAGGTCTGCCTTCACTAACTGTATACGGAGGCTCAGTCATTGGTACATGTTCATCTATAAAGCTATGTTGGGTAAACTACCAACTTATATCTGCTCTCTGATCACACAGAGAGTGGCAAGTAGCTATTGCCTGAGATCCCAGGATGTGTTCTTATTACATGTGCCAAGTGCTAGGACTGTTTTAGGTACAACAACTTTTATGTGCACTGCTCCTCTAGCTTGGAACACTATGCAAAACAAATTGAATATGAGCATTTTGGTTCCCCTGCATCATTTTAAAACTTGGATAGATTAAATGTTATTTGATACCTGTCATTGTGAATAGGTTGTAATTTGTACCCCTGTAATTATGTTGTATGATGTCCTTTTTGTTTTCTGTTGTTTTTATGTGTAACCAATGTGCTGCAGGTCTCCCTTGAAAAAGAGATCGTTGATCTCAATGGGATTTTTAACCTGGTTAAATAAAGGCTACAAACAAACAAACAAAAAACAAATCTTTTTTAGACTGTTAAATCTCCATGATTCTTCCTGACAGCTGAAATGAAAGTCTTTCAGCTGTCAGTGTGTAGTTGTGGAATTACCTTCGACAAGCGTTTTGTTCTGACTCAGTGTTTAAAGGTTGTGTGTTAAAGTGGAGGTCACACATGCAATGCTGGCTCTGTCAAACCAACAATATTTATAGAGGGGATGTTTTCCCTCATCATACACTCTCTCTTGTGCTCTCACTCTTATTTTGAGGAGTGCGGCCAACATCAGTGCGCACACACACACACACACACACACACACACACACACACACACACACACACACACCCCTCCTGCGTGGTGTCAACAGGTGGTCATTTGTAATGGGGTTAGATACTCTCTCTCTCTGGCAGTGTGTCATGCTGTGCCACATGTCTGTGTAATCAGAGCTGCTCTCACAGGAAAGTAGCGTGGCTAGACGAGGTCTGCCGATGTGACAGCTGCCCTCTGTCCACTGACGTGCAGCTCCATGACTTTCAATGACTTTCCATAACGCCATCGGTTTCCCTGACCAACAACGCTCTTTTCTGTCTGCAGTACATATTTGTTAAAGAGGGCATAGTGTGCTGATGTTCAGGTGTATATCAGTATGTAGTGTCTCTACTTTAAAGAGTCCTCTCCTGCTGATGTTCAGGTGTATATCAGTATGTAGTGTCTCTACTTTAAAGAGTCCTCTCCTGCTGATGTTCAGGTGTATATCAGTATGTAGTGTCTCTACTTTAAAGAGTCCTCTCCTGCTGATGTTCAGGTGTATATCAGTATGTAGTGTCTCTACTTTAAAGAGTCCTCTCCTGCTGATGTTCAGGTGTATATCAGTATGTAGTGTCTCTACTTTAAAGAGTCCTCTCCTGCTGATGTTCAGGTGTATATCAGTATGTAGTGTCTCTACTTTAAAGAGTCCTCTCCTGCTGATGTTCAGGTGTATATCAGTATGTAGTGTCTCTACTTTAAAGAGTCCTCTCCTGCTGATGTTCAGGTGTATATCAGTATGTAGTGTATCTACTTTAAAGAGTCCTCTCCTGCTGATGTTCAGGTGTATATCAGTATGTAGTGTCTCTACTTTTAAAGAGTCCTCTCCTGCTGATGTTCAGGTGTATATCAGTATGTAGTGTCTCTACTTTAAAGAGTCCTCTCCTGCTGATATTCAGGTGTATATCAGTATGTAGTGTCTCTACTTTAAAGAGTCCTCTCCTGCTGATGTTCAGGTGTATATCAGTATGTAATGTCTCTACTTTAAAGAGTCCTCTCCTGCTGATGTTCAGGTGTATATCAGTATGTAGTGTCTCTACTTTAAAGAGTCCTCTCCTGCTGATGTTCAGGTGTATATCAGTATGTAGTGTCTCTACTTTAAAGAGTCCTCTCCTGCTGATGTTCAGGTGTATATCAGTATGTAGTGTCTCTACTTTAAAGAGTCCTCTCCTGCTGATGTTCAGGTGTATATCAGTATGTAGTGTCTCTACTTTAAAGAGTCCTCTCCTGCTGATGTTCAGGTGTATATCAGTATGTAGTGTCTCTACTTTAAAGAGTCCTCTCCTGCTGATGTTCAGGTGTATATCAGTATGTAGTGTCTCTATTTTAAAGAGTCCTCTCCTGCTGATGTTCAGGTGTATATCAGTATGTAGTGTCTCTACTTTAAAGAGTCCTCTCCTGCTGATGTTCAGGTGTATATCAGTATGTAGTGTCTCTACTTTAAAGAGTCCTCTCCTGCTGATGTTCAGGTGTATATCAGTATGTAGTGTATCTAATTTAAAGAGTCCTCTCCTGCTGATGTTCAGGTGTATATCAGTATGTAGTGTCTCTACTTTAAAGAGTCCTCTCCTGCTGATGTTCAGGTGTATATCAGTATGTAGTGTATCTACTTTAAAGAGTCCTCTCCTGCTGATGTTCAGGTGTATATCAGTATGTAGTGTCTCTACTTTAAAGAGTCCTCTCCTGCTGATGTTCAGGTGTATATCAGTATGTAGTGTCTCTACTTTAAAGAGTCATCTCCTGCTGATGTTCAGGTGTATATCAGTATGTAGTGTCTCTACTTTAAAGAGTCCTCTCCTGCTGATGTTCAGGTGTATATCAGTATGTAGTGTCTCTACTTTAAAGAGTCCTCTCCTGCTGATGTTCAGGTGTATATCAGTATGTAGTGTCTCTACTTAAAGAGTCCTCTCCTGCTGATGTTCAGGTGTATATCAGTATGTAGTGTCTCTACTTTAAAGAGTCCTCTCCTGCTGATGTTCAGGTGTATATCAGTATGTAGTGTCTCTACTTTAAAGAGTCCTCTCCTGCTGATGTTCAGGTGTATATCAGTATGTAGTGTCTCTACTGGGACATGTCTCCATGCTGTTCAGAAAGCTCTTTATTCTACTCATACTGCCTGTGCTGCAGCACCTCTTTTCACCCTCTGTCTGAAACCAGAGCCCTGTCTGCTCTGATTGCTTAGCTGGTCTGCTCTGTTGTGATTGGTCAACCACTTAGAGATTTCCCGCCCCTTAGCCTATCACGTTCAATGTGTTGGAGTGCTAGCCAATAGGAGGGCGAGTGTCACATAGTGATGTCATTATGTTACTGAAGTAAACAAAGGAGTCCAATGGAGGCGGTTCTTCATTCATTGTAATAGTATGTTATATGTTTGTTTTCTTGTATTCTCTTGTCCTTTTTGATGTTGTAAATAGAGCTGCTGGTTTGCGAGAAAAACTATGCAGACTTGATCCTAAAATAAAGTATCATCGTATAGTGTAGTATTTACCGGGTCAAAAGCCTTTCTTGATCTAAAGAAGATAGATTTCATTATTTGTTTCTAGTAGAAAGACACTACATAATACAGAGGAGTGTGTGTTATCAAGATATGAAGAGACATGTCCTATAAATCAGGGCGGACAATCAAGGCAAGAGGCTAGTGCCTGCAGTTCATTGGACTCTCACACACACACACACACCACACACACACACACACACACACACACACACACACACACACACACACACACACACACACACACACACACACACACACACACACACACACACACACACACACCCACACACACC